AGTATCCAAAAGGGAAACAAAATATTAGTAAAAAATACGTTAACTATTGAACTCAAAATAGACCATACAATGAGAGAATGAGTATGAGGTTACAGACTATGCCCAGATGTAGCATCCAGCCAGAAGGCTAATAGGCTGCATTGGGTAGCAGAAGAAAGTGCTTAACTCATACTTCAGAGGTTAGAGTTCAATCATTATCAATTTTTCTGATCTGAGGGAGAAATACACCTGTCAGGTCTCAATCAAAACCCCAGCCAATGCCAGGAACAGGGACGACCATAGGATGGCTGAGTCTTAAAAAAACTTCTTTCCTCCAGCAAATTGATTTTAAGGGCTTCTTTACTAATCTCTGGAAGACCTCTCTTCCTGCTTTTATTCTAGCAATGCTTCCAGTACGTTTATGGCAAATCACTATTCTAATTCCCCTCTGTTTAAAAACCAAGTGTGATTGTTCTCTTTTCCTGAGCAATCATTGACTCATATATGCACATCCTGTCTTTTCTCAGAATTAATAGAAATTTGACAACCATTCTTTTATGAACAAACTACACTCTCATTCTAACTCTTAAAAGGACAATTACTGAAGAGGACAACTATACCTCATCAGTTTAATTCTGAAAGGTTTAGTAGTGTAGATATTATGAGAAGTTCAACAAAGTCCCAATGCATGAGAGTTACATACATTAACAAGTATGCGTATATGATACCATATTTTATTTATATACATAAATGTATGTGTGTGCATATATATATATATATATATATATATAATATATATTTCTCTATGTTAAGGAAAAAGATCTTTTCATATCATTTCTTCCATCTCCTGTTTACCCTTATAGGTCTATAGAACCAGGTCTTCATGGAAGAAAATTCACCTCTTCTAGGAAAATCACTTTTTAAAAGAACAAGTCAAAAACATTAATAAAGGGGCAAAATATTCACAGACATCAATCTTTGTAATCTTTTCCATTCTTTATCTAATGACATACACCAGAGAGAACAATTTTCTTCTAAGTTAAAAAGTTGGATTTCATTTCTCATGTTGCGAATACCTAGGAAACAAGTTGTTGAGTTATGTGACAAGTGTTTGCATAACTTCGTAGACACTGTAAATTGTTTTCAAAGTCATTTTACCTTTTACTCCCATCTGAAATGTATGAGCATTGCACTTGTTTCCAAATTTTCACCAATACTCTGTATTTCAGTCTTATTCATTTTAGCCAGTTAGAAAACTGGTGTGCAGTGGTGTCTCGTGTTTTTAATGAGAATTCCATTCACGACTAAGGAAGTTTCATATCTTTTCACGTGTTTATGACAAAGATGAAGAGATAAGAAATAATGTGGAACATATAAGACAATCTATCATAGTAACAAACCTCACACCATCCATAAAAATGAATATTAGGTGTCTCAGAGCAAAATACGAAGAACAAGCATTCTTAAATATAATATAGAGAAGTGTCATCCTGAACCAAAGGGTGGATAAATAACATGTTAAACAATTGCAAAAACATTGCAAAGGTAGTATATTTGACTAAATTAAAATTCAAACTTGCTCTTTATCAAAGGACATTGAGCAAGAAGCAAAGCCAAAATGTGACAATATTTCAAGATATGTAATCATATTCATAATTTACAACAAACTTTTCAAGTAAATAAGAATAAATGCAAATAATTGAAAAGAAGAATGGTAAATGCCATACAAAGGGATTTTAAAAAATAAAAATATCCATATAATTATTAAAATGTGCCTGAACTCAAATATCTCAACTGTTCAAAATAAAATTACAAATGAAATATTCAAAATCAACTAAATGGGTAAAAATCATAACTTCTAATAATACTGAAGACTGGCGAGGAAATGAATCATAACTTTGAAACTTTCAAATATTGCTTTTAGAATTTTAAATTGATACAATTGGCCAACAGGCACATGAAAAGATGTTCAACATAATTAACTATCAGGGAAATGCAAATAGAAACTACAATGAGATATCACTTCACTCCCATCAGAATGGCTATAATTAACAAGACAAGAAACAATAAGTATTGGTGAGGATGTGGAGAGAAGGGAGGCCTGATACACTGCTGCTGGGAATGCAAACTGGTGCAGCCACTATGGAAAACAGTATGGAGATTCCTCAGAAAATTGAGAATAGATCTACCATATGATCCAGCTATTCCACTGCTGGGTATCTATCCAAAGAACATAAAAACATGAATGCATAAAGATACCTGCACGCCTACATTCGTCACAGCATTATTCACAATAGCCAAGACTTGGAAGCAACCTAGGTGCCTATCATGGGACAAATGGATAAAGAAGATGTCGTGTATATATATATATATATATATATATATATATATATATATGTACACACACAATAGATACTACCCAGCCATAAGATATGATGAAATCTGGCCCTTCGTGACAACATAAATGGACCTTGAGGGTATTATTCTAAGTGAAATAAGTCAGAGGGAGAAAGTCAAATATCGTATGATCTCACTCATAAGTAGAAGATAACAACAACGACAAACAAACACATAGCAACAGAAATTGGGTCATTGGTTACCAGAGGGGGAGGCAGGAGGACAAAAACACCTATGTGGAGATGAATTGTAATTAGTGTTTGAGTGGTGAAAATGATATAATCCACACAGAAATCAAAATACATAGTGATGTACACCTGAAATTTATAAAATGTTATAAACCAATGTTATCGCAATAAAAAAGTCTAAATTGATACAATCATTTGAAAAATTGAGAACTAAATAAATGCATAATACTTCTAGATATAAACCTGATTCTAATGACTACTTATGTGCTGCGTAATTGTATACATGTCCCCAAACTGAAACTTCCCAAAAGTCCATCATAGTAGACTGGATTAAAGAGAAAACCTGAAATATTAATTCTATAAAATATTAAATAGAGGAAAAATTGAAAAACTAAATATATACAACAACAAGGATGATTTGCAATGCATAATTCTTGATTTCCTTCACATACAGTTTGCAAAGAGGGAATATTAATTTGTATTTTTTGAGAGGCATAGTTATATATTGAATCTATATAGAAAAGCAACTGCATCATTATGACAAAAGTTATCCTTTTGTCTCTTGCTGAGAGTGGGAGGAAAGGTTAGTAATTGACTCCAGGCTTCTGGTAATGTTTTATATATTGATCTACTTGGGATTTAAATGCATGTTTCTTTAAAAAATGTTTCAGTATGTTTTACATTTAAAATGATGAAGTTAGAGAATTAGGCAGATGCTACATTTTGCAAAGAGTTAGATTTTCATCATAAATGTAAATTAAAACTATTGCACATTCTAAACTGGGAAGTGAAATTAATTGACTTTACATTTTTAAAAAATCACTATGAATAATCTGAGATTCACACTTTATATGAGGTTAAGAAATGTGAGTAGTATGTTAATATGGTATTAACTGCTAAAACCAACTTAATGACAATTTTGGCTCAGAAAGCAGAGACAAGGAGATATAGTTCTGTTTTGGAGATAGAAACAACCTAACTTACTGACAAATATTTGAGAGAAGCTAAAGAAAAATAAATAGTAGTAAATAATGATTTCTCCTTTGCTTTGTCTAAGCAATTGAGTGGATGTCATGTACTGAGACGGAAAAAATTGGTAGGTTGGAATTGTTTATTGTCGACAATGCATGATCAAAAAGTGTATTTTATTGGACCAGCCCCAGTGGCCTAGAGCTTGAGTTCAGCACACCCTGTTTTGGCAGCCCAGGTTTGGTTCTTGGGCACAGATCTACACTGCTCTGTTAGTGGCTATGCTGTGCTGGCGGTCCACATACTAAAAAGTAGAGGAAGACTGGCATGGATGTTAGCTCAGGGTGAGTCCCCTTCAGCAAAAAAAAAAAGAAAAAAAAGAAAAAAGTATATTTTATTAACCTTTGTCTTTTATCAATGGGTAATAAATACATCTTAGAAAAAATTAAGCTTTTCTTAGTATTCACTATTATCTTCAGCATCTTTTATTGAACTTTAATATATTACATTGATACTCAAAAAAGAAGTGATACACATAGGAGTAGTTAATATTTTCAACCTCTGCTCACTTAAAGTCAGATAATATTTCTCATAAAGCAAACTCTCAGGTCCTCATTTTTCTTGGAATAAAATAAAATTCTGGAACAAAAAGTGGTGTTTTATAGAACTTGCTGAGTCAAAAGAGTTGGTTATTAGAACCTGAGTACAGATCTATTAAAGACAGTTAACGTGTATTTGCAGCACTTTTACAAAGCACAACTTAAACTATAATATAAATAATGGTTCTCTAAATATATATGCCTTCTTCATCATCCCAACTTCCACAGTGACTAACTGGGAGATGTTGAAATATATTTATTTCTGAAACCAGCTGAGATGAATCGCATTAAAATGTGTTATTTCTATATTAATCCATAGCATTGTGGCCACCAAATAACATGGAAAGTGCAATATTTAATTGCTTTAAAATATAATCAGAGGCCAGTCCCATGGCTGAGTGGTTAAGTTAGTGTGCTCTGCTTTTGTAGCCCAGGGTTTCCCCAGTTTGGGTCCTGGGCACAGACCTGGCACCACTCATCAAGCTATGCTGAAGCAGCATCCCACATAGCACAACCAGAAGGACCTACAACTAGAATATACAACTATGTAGTCGGGGCTTTGGAGAGAAGAACAAGAAAGAAAGAAAAAAAGATTGGCAACAGATCTTAGCTCAGGTGCCAATCTTAAAAATATATATATAATCATATATTTACTTTAAATAAAGGTAAACTAACATCATCCAAATATACGAAAATTTATTGGACATAAGTAGGACGTAAATACACATATATATTTTAATCATATTGAGTGAGAAAGCAGTTGGGAGTTGATTACACTCGTGACTGTCTCTTTCACGTCTTTGTTCCTAAGGCTGTAGATAAGGGGGTTCAGCATGGGGACCACGACTGTATAAAACACAGTACCCACTTTGACCAGGAGCCAGGAGTTTTTGGAGTTGGGCACACAGTAGAGAAGAAGGATGATCCCATGGAAAATGGTGATGGCAGTCAGGTGGGAAGCACAGGTGGAGAAGGCTTTTCGGAGTCCACCAGTAGAAGGCATCTGGATGATTGCGACAACTATGACAATGTAGGAGGAGAAGATAATCAGGAGGCTACAAGCCTCACTGAATATAGAAATGATTAAACATATCATTTGACTGAAATAGGGGTCAGAACAGGATAAAGAGAGAATGGCAGAATACTCACATCCAAAGTGACTGATTATGTTAGAACCACAGAAGGAGAGTTCCAAAAGAGAATATGTGATTGTCAGGGAACATGTTCCACCATATGTGTAGGTTCCAGCTACCAGGAATTTACAGAGTTTATGAGACATAGTAACTGTGTAGAGAAGGGGGTTACAAACAGCCACAAACCGGTCGTAGGCCATCACTGCTAACATGAACATTTCTGTAATCACAAATGTGCAGCCAAAGAAGTATTGTACCATGCATCCTTTGAAGGAGATAGTTCTGTCTTCTACAACCAAAATTTCTAGCAGTTTGGGTGTAAATACACTGGAATAACAAATATCCAAAAAGGACAGATGACTGAGAAAAAAGTACATGGGTCTGTGGAGTTTGGGATTGATCCTTATGGCCACAATTATGCCCAGGTTCCCCACCAGAGTGACTGTGTAGATAGTCAAGAAAACTAAAAAGAGGGGTACCTGGAGGTTTGGATATTCTGAGAAGCCCAGGAGGATGAACAAGGTCACAGAGCTCTGATTTCCCTCAACCAGTAACATGGCCTTTGATTTTTTTTTAAAAAATGAATAAATAAAGGAAAAGAAAAGAAAATTGAGCAGCAGAACTTGAGAAGACGGGGTAAGAAGACGTCAAGAGAGCTCAACGTAAACTAGTGAAGGCATCAGGGTCAATGTGCACTCTTGAGTGTTCTGATCCTATTTGGAGTCTCATTTGACAACTTAGTGGCAATTTGATTATGGAGAGTTAGCTTTGTCCTTCAGTACTTTAGTTTCCTCATCTGGAAAACAAGACGAAAATAGTACATATCAATATTATTATTTTATATAATGATCCACAGTGCATTGAATACCCCGTGATAAAAATATAATTGTATGAGAACAAAGGAGATGTAGAGTGAAATCAGAGAAACATTGAGCAGATCCTAGGAGTCATATGAAGATGCCAGAAGTGGACTTGGGAAGATTAAACACTTTTAAAATGTAGAAAAAGTAAATTTCTTTGGGGAAAAATGTATCATCAGACATTCACAATGCTGTATTGTCATATCGCAAGTTTATGTATTCTAGATCTACCCCATTGTAAAGGACACACAGAGCATCTACTTAAGAAGATCTCTAAGTGGTCTGGTGAAAAATTCCACTGATGATTCTTCCCTCAATTACACACGTATCATATGGTCATTTATAAGACTCAAAATGCTCAATGATTTAAAACCGTCTTCTAAAGAAATGTTTTGGAGACATTCTTGAAAGTTTCGCATTGGCTATCTTCTGTCAGTAATGCACATTGTATTAAAAAGAAAAAATATCTGCTTATTTATCAGTGGTTATAAAACACACAAAAAATAGTACTGAAAAAGAAATATCTCTTACAATAACAAGAAGTCTTTTTTCTGATATGGCAAACTTAGGTGCAGTGGCCAATAAGGAATGAAAAAATATGTAACATTCAACTATATAAATACTTTATTTTTGTAAGCCAACATGAGTTTAAAAATGATGAATTTCACATGATTAAATCTAAAAATACCTGATTCTTGAAATGAACTTGGAGATGCAATGAATATGATGCTGCTATCTTAAATAAGTCTCTCAACTTGCACCACTTTTAGCATTGTTTGTGACAAGAAACAGCCTACCATCAAATCTGCCACTAATTCCAGGTGCAGAGCATTAACTGTGCAACCACATTTTCCATTGCATAGAAGACTTAGTTGACCTTTTGTGAAGTGCATGTACTTAGTCACATGGCATTGATAAAAAAGGCTTCTCTAAATTCATAAAGTTAGATTGCTTTTATTGGGTCACATCCATGCAGGTTAAGAATTTTGAGATACAGTCTGCTACTAGAAAGGAGAAAAGAAAGAAAAGTTGATGAATCTGTTATATCAGTAAAGGTCTTAGAACTTGGACTAGGAAAGAATCCCTGGACTTCTTAGATCACGCTCTGCCAGACAGAAACGAAGTAGATCTTTGTGAAAGATTCTAAACCAAGATTAAGACGAGATTTGGTACAGTTAAAAAACAGAGAATTTCTGAATATTTTCACATATCTTGTATTCATTCTTCATTAGCACTACTTCTCACCTTCCTTACATTAAAGATCCTGTCCTCACAGCTAATGGTCCTTCTGCAAACTCCATCAGTGCAGCTTACCAAACAGATAACCATCATAGTCAATTCAATGTTTGAACATTTCTCTTAACTAGTATTCTTCCTATTGTATTTTTGGGTAATTTCAAGATCAAAATGCCTCCAAATCTATCTCTGAACTTTGAGAAACGGAAATTAGCCCGTGTTATACTATAAACCTTCAAATATTTAAAGACATTTAAATGAATCTCTTGCCTTCTAAGCAAATATTTTAGTGTTGGTTTTGGGTGTTTGTGTTTGTTTTCCATTTTCTTGCTTCCACTGGTTTTTAAATATTCCAGAGAATCTACTCAATATTCTTGGTACACCAATGACTCCTCTGAGCTGATATTGAAACTAGAACTAAACATAGATTCTCAGGGATATCCTGCCAGGATAAGAGGCACCAAACTCAGCAGTCTGCTGTGACTTGCTACATAATTAATAACAATGTCATACTGAGCACTTGTAGTCAAGTATGTGAACCACGTTAGGTCAATTTACTGCTTTTGCAAGCTTTGTCCATGATTAACCAGTAAGCAACAAATCGCACGAATGTGCACTTGAAACATTCAGACAAAGTTGAGGATTATTCATTTTTATTAAATTTCATGGACTGTTTAATGCTTTTTTTCTTCTCTTGCCTGCTTACATTACCTTTCATTCTAATTGGATTGATTGCTACCCACACTGCTTCTTGCCTTTACTCGGGCCACTCTGTCTGCCTGGAATGCCTTCACTGTTTCTTCTGGTTCCATCACTATTACTAATTATCAGTGCCCATTCCATTCTCATTACTAATTGGGCTATTTGTTAAATTTTTGGTAATTATTCTTTCATCTTCACTTTTGAAGAGTACACATGTGCTGTTCAACATGCTGTGCTCAACACAAACTTTGAGTAAAATAATCACAGGGGATCTTAACAACCTGGAAGAGTTAAAGATCACTTACATTGAATGTAAAACTTCCTCACCTGTCTCAGAATCATTTGAGGACAAGGTTCACATTGTGTACTTATTAGTTTACAAATAAAACAGGTATAAAAATGCATTAAGAAGATAATAATTGTTAAGATAATGTTATGGTGAAAATCTTATCAAAGCAGTTAGGGTATTGTTTTTAACTAGCTTAGCCTGGTAACTGGGAACATGACTCAGGTTGAATGAATAAACTGCGTCTTTGTTCACAGCACAAAGGAAAGAAAAGAATCCCATTTATTTTTTCTTATCAAAAAACTTTCTAATAAAACTCTATTATCAACCCTTTCTTTGCTCTTCATTCAGAGAAAGGACTACATTGAATGAATGGAGAAAAGGCACTGTCACATCATGCAATTTTATGAAGAACATGGACTTGAGGAGGTAGATCCCATTAGTTCAGATTCACTCTCTGTCATTTATTACATATGTAACTTTAGCAAATTATGAGCTGCAATTTTATCATCTACAAAATATGATAATACTATGCTGTATGGATAATAAAACTATGCTAGATCATTTAATATTTAGTGTGACTGTCTTAAATGAGGTATGACTTTAAAATATCTGAGAACAAATCCTACACTTAGTTAATGATTCCACAAATAACAGCTCAATTCCACCTTGATTTTTCAATGTTGTTAATCTCGAAGAAAATAGCATCAGTTCCATGGTTTGAAAAGGTTTGCAGAGAAAATTTTGGAAGCTATTTTAAAAAGAGTCTGACAACCTGGACTCCTTTTATTTTCAGATTGTTCACTCAGTCTGGGACTCACAATTATATTCATTTTTAATCTACCATAATATAATCTTCATTTTCCCTGGCTTTCCTAACCGCATCTGATTCTTTCTAACTCTCTTTTTGCCATCTCATATCTGTGAATGTGGAAAAGGCAATCAGGGAAAAATGAAAAATGAGAAATAGTCAAGACATACCTCCCCCTTCATTTCCACTATTATCAACTGTCTGCTCACCTGGATATACAGTTTCCAGCTATGCTCCCAAACTACAGTCCAATCAGTAAGATTAATGTTTGTTTACTCTCACTTATTCTGGAATGCAATAGCATCGAGTTTGGGAAGGCATTTTATGCTAAATGAATCAAATTGAAACTCATTAGCCTGGATTTCTATAACATCTCCAGGAAATATATAGGCACATCCATTTTTCACTACAATACTACTTCATTCACAATGGTATTTTAAATCTTTATTGTACAAAAGTAAGTCATTTATATTTTCTGATCTTCTACTTTTATGACTCTGAAATGGCACATCCACCCTTCCTGTCTTATGCTGTGTCATCACTTCATGAGTTACTACATATTTCTCCAAGAAAGCATTGCTGGTTAATCTAAATGCCTTTTCACTCATTCTACTCCCTTTCCACTCATGTCATCACAACATTTATACAATACCTGGCATATTTCGCTATATTTTATGTGTATGTGTCTGCCCTGTGTGGATGTGTGTACGTGTGTGTGTTTTGGCTTTTTCCCTGAAGAATATGACTTCTCTAGGATAAGATTTACATTTAACATTTCTTCTATGACTTCCTAATATGTTTAACATAGCAATTACAGACACATTTTCAAGTTCAGGACAATGGTGCTGGGAATAATGAAAGTAGTCCTCGATGTATTGATTATAACCATGATCTAAGTAGACATTGCTGTTACTTAGCTCACATAGGTTTTCCCTGCCAAAAATTTGCTAGATTCCAATATCATTCACATCAGAATGAAAATATCATCCCTAGGTTGAATCAACTCACCAAAAGCCAGATACTCCCAAAGATTTTTTTTTATTGAAGTCTTCCTTGCTAGTATTAATAAGCTGCATACATATTCTGTCTCAAAATTTTAGAAATTTTCCTTTAAATTCTTTCAGTCTTTTAACCAGACAGTCGATAATTCTTGCAACATACAACTTAAAAAATATACAAAAAAATGCCATTTTTGCAATTGTTGAGAAATTTTATAGGGAGCATAGAGATGTCCCTGAGGAATACACAGACTTGGAAACTATACTCCTTGATCATGTTGTTTGTTTTATATTTAACAACCTGACCTTGGGACACAGGCCCTGGAGAATCCTGACTGAGTTTGTTGTCATAAACTACAAACAAAATAGCTAGAGGAAATTTCCTCTTCCAAAACTTAGAATATAATTTCTTCTAAATCATTAAGGTGTTAGTCTTTATGTCTTAAAAATTAATTTATCTCTATATAGAGGCTATATTTATTAAAATCATGAAAAAATTATAGGCTTATCTATTCCAATGACCCAAACATAATTATGGTTGATATGATTTATTCTCTTTATTTTGCTTAAGTGTTTGTACATCCATTTATATAGAAACACATTTAAAATTATATTGTACATCTTTTTACATTCAACCATTTGGGCTTATTGTTTGTTATACCCTGAATATGCATGCCTTCAGCTGGGGTTTGGGAGAGTGAGGATGTGTTATTTATCCCCATCTTGGCTATAGATTTAGGTGTATTCTTCAGTTGAGCCATAGAGATCATAGTGCTGATAAATCCATCTATGTGATTCCTGCACCTATTCCTCTAGGACACATATCAGGAAAGAAAGAATGTTAAATATCGACCTGTCCTGACTCAAGTCTTAAAGGGAAATAAAGCCACATTTATACTATTACAGCCAAAATTTTAAAAGAAGAGTAGCATATAAAACCATCTGTAAAAAAATAGCCTGAAACCATTACTTAATACAACCATTAGTGAAGTAACATATTATCTAACATTCGTTTAGCTTCATAATTAAAATATCTAATTTCAGACTGAAAGTATGACCTGAGAATTTTTGAAAAAAAAATTGTTGCATTTGTGTAAATAAACTGCACATTCAAAAGTATTTGCCAAAATAAAAGGCAATCTTGTTCTGAAAGGATTTTTCAGCTTTTCACTCTTTTGTTTTTGTTTTTGTTTTATTCTTCACCATAAGACAGAAAGCTTGTGAGCAAAATTATAAGTTACATAACTAAAAAATCACTATTTAAGTAAAATGCATTCTAATTCTTTTGGGGGTGATACTATTTTTGCTGGGAAAGATTTGCTCTGGGCTATCACCTGTTGCTAATCTTCCCCTCTTTTATTTTCTCTCCCTAAAGCCCCAGTACCTAGTTGTATACTTTTTAGTTATAAGTCTTTCTAGTTACTCTATGTGAGCCACCACCACCGTCTGGCTACTAGCAGAGCAGTGGTGTGACCCTGCACCTGGGAACTGAATCTAGGCCACCAAAGCAGAGCACACTGAACTTTAACAACTAGGCCATCAGGGCTGACTCAATATACTCTAATTTTTATCCTACAAATCTTACTGAATATATCAAATGTCCCAATGTTTGCTCAAACTTCTGAAATCTTTTGTGTTTTCCTAAAAGATCTTTATTAAATTATACACACACAGACACTCATATACTTTTAAAGTACCTGATAGGAAGATTTAATTATGACCCCTAGTTGATAAACAATTAAAAACTAAAGTAAATCCTTAGTTACTATTGTGATGCCCACTGAATGTTAAGAATTTTGGTGTATTTCCCTAAACAGCAAGTTACAAAGGACAGATGATTTTATATTAAACATTATGGTAAAGAGTGGTCAATTTCTCTATGAAAATAAAACTCTAAATCATGGAAGGGAACAAGTAATATTTAATAGATTGAATTAGAACAAAATACATGGATATCACTCTATGCTTGTAAACTTTAATCATGATTAGTAGGACACAAGTAGAAAAGGCTGGTTCTTATATTTAATCTCAGTCAGTCATTTGCTTAAAGAAACCCAAAGACCTATCAATTATTAGAAAAATTTGCTAAAACCTGTCCCAGTCATGGGTTATCTATTATCTGCCATAGAGTTATCTAGTATTATCAAGGAAAAATGTCTTCCATGAGGTAATCAATCTTTAGTAATTTTTGAGCCAAATTCTACACTTCTCTCTATACCCCTAACTTTGACTTGTAACTTTATGATTTGACTAGAGGTAAATAAATTTCTCACATTTCAACTTTGGGCTTAGACATATGATTTACTTTGACTCTTAAAATGTTAGCAGGTGAGACTCAAACAAAGGTTGAAATATGCTTTTGTTGTTGGCATACGTTTGTTGTAACTCAGTATTCACCATAGATCATTAGTTAAATAGTCCAGTGAAG